TATATATATATATATATATATATATATATATATATATATATATATATGGTTGATAACCTCAATAACTCAAACCTCTTCAAGTCAGATGCCTAACCAAGTCAAATTTGTTTCAAATACCCATCTGAATCCCCTTGGGAATATTGCATTAAAAACCTCCCTAACCTGAAGGCTTTTCCTCTAAACTTCCATAACTCACATTTTCTGAGGCCGTTTGGCTATTATTTTATTGACACAGCAGGAAAGAGAAAAAAATTTAAATATAGTAACTTTACGTGTTTTGAAAGGAAGTGGAAGACTAATTGGGTAAGCCTCCAAATTCAGCATCCTGTCAACTCATTTCAAAAGCAATTCAAGGTCCAAAACACAGTATCACCATTTACAATTTCCTGCAATTCTTCCATGTTCCAACATTAAAAATGCTTGTTTCCCCAGCTAAAAACCCCCTATCTCAGAGTCTCCTCAATTCAAACCTCCCTAATTTGAATTTCCATGGTCCCCTGAAATTTGACTTGGAGAGTTTTTTATTTGCCCTTATTGTTCTGGCATTTAAAAAATGGTTGATGTAAAGTGAAATTATAAAATTCCTACAACTCACTCATTATGTATGCTCAAGGTTTGAGTGAGTGTTCAAGTGTGTGAGAAATTTGTATCAGGTGCAGCCATAATGAAGTTAATCCTCCATTATATGAAATGCATGACTGATGCCAATTTTTTCAGAAGATCATTTAGTTTTTTAAGCAACGCCAAAAATTGGAAAAAGCCAGAAGAGCAAGATATAATTAATTATGGGCTGGTCTGACATGACAAAAATGTCCTGGCTTTAATTTTAAAAATCTGGCTACAACAAATCATTTACTATAAAAAAAACTTGTTCTGTGGTCCACAAAACGTTTTACAGGAAAAATCTGTTGTAATGGGATTCATGGATCTTTGAGCATGTGTAGATTGTATCTGATAGAAATGTTGTGGGAAATTATAAATAACACATTTCGAGTACTTTCACAATAGGTGTGTGAAGAATAGCCATCATTTCCAACTTCTCTTAATAAATTGATTGAGAGAATTCCAAATAAGAATACAATAATACTTGTATTTCAGACCTTCCCTTCCTAAAATATCCTCCAATGTATTATCTTACTAAATTAAAAGCTGGAACAAACAGTGAAGACATGTGTAGAAGAGCATTTATTAATTTACATCTGCACTGTGTGTTCTCTGAAATGGAGTAGCATCCTTTCAAACATCCTTTTTTCAAATTACTTATTTCAAAATTTTAAAATGAATTGAGGTAGATATATTTTTATTACAGCTTCATTATTCTTCCTTGGATGCCAAATTTTCTGTTCAAAAGAAGATTATTAATTTTTTTGAAAGTTTTTCAATCATGCACAACGTTTTCCCATATACTGAGCAAAATATTTAGAATGTCTAATTGTCTGTGCTATGGCGACAATAAACATTTTTGCAATTTTTTCTTTTACATACTATATCAGCTTGTAGAGAACGTCTTCAGGAGCTTCAAGGAGCGGAAGATAAACTACTTGTTCCTTGTTGGAGGGTTTGCTGAGTCGCCTTTGTTGCAGGAGAGAATCAAAAAGGAATTCCAGGACAGAACCAAAGTTATCATTCCAAACGTGAGATTTTCCGCCGTTATCGGGGCTTTCCTCTTCACATACTATTAATTGAGCGTTTCTTTTTTTTTCTTCAACGATTTCAAAAACATGTGCAGGATCCCGCTGTCGTGATCCTCAAGGGGGCATCCATGTTTGGTGTGGATCCATCTGTGGTCAGAGTGCGCAGAGCCAGGATGACTTATGGCGTTGGAGTGCTTCAGCCTTTCAACGTGGACATGCATCCTTTAGGTATATTCCATGCTGGTGTGAATACTGTGCATAGAAGGATGATTCAGTGCTGCATGGGAACCTTTTCAGGAGATACTGTACAGTGAAATCTAAAATTTCCTTCTTATTGGGTTTTCTTTATGATTTGTTTAAAAAAGCATTATCTTTCCTGATCCTTAATTTGTTTCTGCCAGAAATGGAGAAATTTATTTGAATCTTGATACATTTTGTCAAGTCTAAGTTCAATTAGGTATAAGATCAGTTCATTTGGTATTTTATTCAGTGAAGTAAGTCCTTCAGCTGGCTAATCTATTTCTCAGCCATGCAGAATGAGAAAACAACTATATACAGTGTATTTAAGGATGAATGGAGGTGAGATTTAACGTCAAGTTTGCCAATTTGTTGTCCACATGTTTCAGTCTAACCCAGTGTTCCCCATATACCCATGGTCCACAGACTGGCACCAGTCTGCAGATGTTTTTTGCCAGCCCACACCATTTTTTTCTCTCCAGCATAGTAAATTTAAGTAGCAATGAAGTCTATTATCTTTATTTGAAATTTTTGAGAGATAATAAATGGCAGTTTAAATTATCTGATGAAAAATGAAAATTAACATTTCTCTTGATATTACATCAGACAAATTTTCACCAGATGAAATAAATTATTTTAATTTTTCATTCTGAGAAACCTAATTTCTTTTAGCCCACCTTTCTAATTTTTTGAAGACATTCCAATATAGTTTATACATTAGTTCTCAGCGTAATTTTTTGCAAGAAAGGAATTTTTAAAACAAAGGAGTTATTGACACTCAGTAAAATCTGACCACAATAAAAATCTTCTTATAACGAATTACTGGTTACAGCAAATCAATTTTTAGGTCCTTCTGCCCATTAGCAACAATTTTTTTTAATTACTCTACAACAAATTTCTTGTCTCAACAAAAGTCAAGGGACCAGAATAAATTTGTGAGAGAAAGAATCCCTTTGTAGAGATCCCCTACATGATGGAGACGTAATTGGTGCATCAAGAGTGTCCTGATATTGGAATGTCCCTAAGTCGAGTCTCATTTTCCCTTAGACTTTTAATGCTCATGTACTTAATTGGTTATCCTTTCTGTAACAAATTAGAAATAAGTCCTTGAACATGTTAAGAAAAAAATATTCTCTTGACTTCTAGGTGTAGAAAACAACAGTGCAGAACAAAACCACATAAAATCTTATCTTTTGGTATCAAAAGGAGATCAAAAAGCAAAAAAAGAGAATTTTTGGAATATACATAGATGATGAAAAAACTCTGAAAAAAGCACAAAAAATCAGCTTGCTGTTGATTATGAATTAGAGTGAATTTATCCTGAAACATTTTTTTTATTCTGTGAATGTAAATACAGTGAGACCCCAAGATGCGGACACCTCAACCTGCGGGCAATTTGACATAGGGACACTTATTTTAGCATAAAAAATTTATAAAAATGACCCAACATGAGGACACTGACTTGACATAGGTACATTTTGTTCTAAAATTGCGAATACATTTCAGACAAAATTACAAGAAACAGATATTTCCAACTCTAAAATTGATGTAAGAAAAGTTCTTTGGCATTTCTCTCCCCAATTTACCATCCATTCTGCTAATTTAAAAAAATTACCTCTAGCAGAGAGGGACTTCCTTCTCTCTTTTTCACTTGAATGTTATTTTTACAGAGAATGCCAACATTTCTATGCACTGTACAGAGGTATCATTATTCAATTACCCAAATGTCCATTTTGTGTTGAGGTATATTGATGGAAATCAGTTGAAATTGGGAGACAATTTTTATTTTCATGGAATTATGGTGAGTATTTTGTACATGATCAATATACACCAAGTAAAAATTATATGATGTAAGTCTAAGGGAAAATGAGACTTGACTTGGGGACATTTTGACTTGGGGACACTCTTGATGCACCAATTATGTCCGCATCTTGGGGTCTCACTGTATTTACATTCACAGAATAAAAAAAATGTTTCAGGATAAATTCACTCTAATTCATAATCAACAGCAAGCTGATTTTTTGTGCTTTTTTCAGAGTTTTTTCATCATCTATGTATATTCCAAAAATTCTCTTTTTTTGCTTTTTGATCTCCTTTTGATACCAAAAGATAAGATTTTATGTGGTTTTGTTCTGCACTGTTGTTTTCTACACCTAGAAGTCAAGAGAATATTTTTTTCTTAACATGTTCAAGGACTTATTTCTAATTTGTTACAGAAAGGATAACCAATTAAGTACATGAGCATTAAAAGTCTAAGGGAAAATGAGACTCGACTTAGGGACATTCCAATATCAGGACACTCTTGATGCACCAATTACGTCTCCATCATGTAGGGGATCTCTACAAAGGGATTCTTTCTCTCACAAATTTATTCTGGTCCCTTGACTTTTGTTGAGACAAGAAATTTGTTGTAGAGTAATTAAAAAAAATTGTTGCTAATGGGCAGAAGGACCTAAAAATTGATTTGCTGTAACCAGTAATTCGTTATAAGAAGATTTTTATTGTGGTCAGATTTTACTGAGTGTCAATAACTCCTTTGTTTTAAAAATTCCTTTCTTGCAAAAAATTACGCTGAGAACTAATGTATAAACTATATTGGAATGTCTTCAAAAAATTAGAAAGGTGGGCTAAAAGAAATTAGGTTTCTCAGAATGAAAAATTAAAATAATTTATTTCATCTGGTGAAAATTTGTCTGATGTAATATCAAGAGAAATGTTAATTTTCATTTTTCATCAGATAATTTAAACTGCCATTTATTATCTCTCAAAAATTTCAAATAAAGATAATAGACTTCATTGCTACTTAAATTTACTATGCTGGAGAGAAAAAAATGGTGTGGGCTGGCAAAAAACATCTGCAGACTGGTGCCAGTCTGTGGACCATGGGTATATGGGGAACACTGGGTTAGACTGAAACATGTGGACAACAAATTGGCAAACTTGACGTTAAATCTCACCTCCATTCATCCTTAAATACACTGTATATAGTTGTTTTCTCATTCTGCATGGCTGAGAAATAGATTAGCCAGCTGAAGGACTTACTTCACTGAATAAAATACCAAATGAACTGATCTTATACCTAATTGAACTTAGACTTGACAAAATGTATCAAGATTCAAATAAATTTCTCCATTTCTGGCAGAAACAAATTAAGGATCAGGAAAGATAATGCTTTTTTAAACAAATCATAAAGAAAACCCAATAAGAAGGAAATTTTAGATTTCACTGTACAGTATCTCCTGAAAAGGTTCCCATGCAGCACTGAATCATCCTTCTATGCCCAGTATTCACACCAGCATGGAATATACCTAAAGGATGCATGTCCACGTTGAAAGGCTGAAGCACTCCAACGCCATAAGTCATCCTGGCTCTGCGCACTCTGACCACAGATGGATCCACACCAAACATGGATGCCCCCTTGAGGATCACGACAGCGGGATCCTGCACATGTTTTTGAAATCGTTGAAGAAAAAAAAAAGAAACGCTCAATTAATAGTATGTGAAGAGGAAAACCCGGATAACGGCGGAAAATCTCACGTTTGGAATGATAANAATATGGATTCAAACTGAATTTACAACTGCTGAAAGGGACTCTATATGAAGAACATACAATGAAAAGATGAATTGCGTATTCATTTTTATTCCTTCATGCTCCAATTAATTCAATTTTTGATAATGGTCCAATATTTGCATACAAAGTGTGGTTTTGGTCTCTCAATTCAAAAAACATTGAGTATATCATAGTCAGCAACACTTTTTCCACAAGCAGCTAATAACAAAATAATACTGATCTATTTTTGAGACTTAAATCAGTAATATTTGATTAGATGTATAATCAATGTGAGACATGTGCAATATGCAATCTTAGACAAAACATGTTATCCCTCAGAAGATTACATTAAAGGAACTTCCTATGGTACAAGAAATCCTGAAAGGGGACCTGGAACAATTCAATAAGATTCACTCCAATTGACAACCAATCCATGTGAAATATGAAGCAGTGTGTATAGGACATAAACCACATTATATTGTATACTGAAGTGTGTGTGTGTGAACCAGTTGTATGAGAATAGTCAATAGAAATCATGGAATAGTGATAAAGTATTGGTCTTATTGTGAGACATGAGATAGTAAGATGTCTACATGAAAAAAATTGCATCTTCCAGTAGAAAATGAACAGTATTATCACAGCTCCCTCTGTTGAGTGTAAAATAACACTGTTTCTTCATCTCAAGAAACATTGCTAGAAATTTCTTCCATGTTTGACTACTTTACTGCAATGCCTTCCTGTTCTTTGACAGCCAAAATATTGACCATGGCACCCAGAACATGATCAGTGTTGTCAGCCATGAGTTCTTCAGCCTTGAGAGACAAGTGTCTCT